AGGGACCGGTGGAGGGCTTTGGTTAGTTCGGTGATGAACCTTCGAGTACCGTAAGGCATCTAGTTAGTTAGGTAGGTAGGTAGCCAGTTAGAAACAGCGAAACCAAATCACTGATTAAACGGAAGTGATATTTTTCATATGCATCCTCCGTGTTTCCACATCATCTGCTTACAAGTGCAACCCAGATGGTTTAAGTAACCCGGAGGTTCATCACCGAATTAACCAAAGCCCTCCACCGGTCTCCTTACTTCTCTTGTAACGAAGAGTCGGCTACAAATAGCATGAACAGGAAAACCACCCAAAGCAACATCGACTGTTTATTCGTCAATGATTTAAACGACGACATACCAACTGCAGCAGCTGCTCATTACTTGAATAACGGTATCAGAATTTCATACGTGTGAACTGAAGGAAACCAGAGACATCGTAAGGTGATATAACATCAGATGTGGTCAGTTGCTCCTCTGACAGTTGCCCTGTTTGTTTGCAGTACCGCGTGCTGAGAGCCGTCACCTGGAGACACATTTACAGCCCTTACTCAGGCTCTCGACATCAAAAGTGCTTCTACGCCGGCAGTTTGCTGGACGACTTCTTCAGGTTCCTGCGAATGGCCCACCATTGCCCAACCAGCTTGGGGTTAGCCATGCTTAACCCGGATAATAAAAACGAAGTCCTCAAACTGAATGTTGGCTGCTTGATATTCACGAACCACTTCGAGAAAAGAACTGAGAAATTTAAACGCTATTATTCAATCTCTGGGTCAAAGCTTATTGGCCTTTGCCATCGCTTGATGCGGAGAAAGGTCAGGATGATCCCACATGAACAGGCGGTGACAGTCAATGGAACGGAATGCCACATCAAGGCTCATTACAGGTAAGGAAGAACTCATTAAATTGGGGCCCCGCGTTAGGTAAATTCTTATATCAATAAATAACACGCCACCTCGCCATCTTCAGTTTCTACTGCGAATTAACAACATTCTCGCTCTCCAGACACGTATGGGGGCTGGGCGGGGCGGAAACAAGGGGTGCATACAGAATATTGGTTTGGAATCCTTCTGGAAAAAGACCACTGGGCAGACCAGGAAGGAGATGAGAGGATAATATCAAGATGGATCGAAGGGAGGTGGGCTGTGATGATGGAAAATGGACGAATTTGGCGCAGGATCGTGGCCGGTGGCGGGCTTCGGTGTCGTCGGCGTTGGACCTGCGGGTTCTGCTACCGGGGATTTAGTTACTAAGTAGGTCTCCACAGACCGCAGCGGTAGTGTGTTCACAATGCGTGGCTGACCTGACAGCGCTCGCAAAGTAGGTCCAACGCACTGTAGCTGTTCGATTGTATTCGTACACTTTCAGTTTGGAATGATTTTGCAAAACAGTTTTGAGAAGGCCTCGTTTCAGTGTCAGGTCCAATGGCGAAGTCAGAATATTGAAGCTACTCAGAGTCGCTTGTAAAATGCTCCGCTACTGAACTGGAGCCCCTAAACAGGCCTGAAGTATACTCACGATGTTTTTGGATGCTTGATTCCGTCTTCTGTGTTCAAAGTGGAAGGAAAGCACAAGAAGGACGTCTTAAATGTTTTACAGTAAAAATGCGTCTTTCTCGCCGTGCTATAAATTATTGTTCAACTTGACACTGATGCCGTCAGTCACAGCGACTTGTTTAGTTAGAAGTAATCCGGAAACTTAGGAAGGAGGCTTGATCACGAATTACGTAAACGCACATTACTAAAACCTACGTTTGTCCCAGCCGCACGCCATCGTCTGTTCACTTCCCTGGATCGAGCAATTCTTGCTGTTTATTCTGATTCCCCTTGCTCGATGCTGAGCGAGAATTTGCGTAAGCAAGAATAAATACTAAATCTCAACCCGGAGACGGTTATCTTGATCGAGATTTTCCTCGCTGACTTCCTCGTGAGACTCCGCAAAAGCGCCACGTCTATGAACGACTGTCCACTGATGTAGGACATTTGTTTCTTTGTTCGAAGGATCCCAGCCGATTGCTGACAGGCATAAAGCATAGCACTTCAACGTGAAAGAAGGATAAGGTTCCTTTATGTCTGTCTTACGTGATGTTCCGAAAAAAAACTATGTTTGTGTCCGTGTCGAAAACCGTTTCAGGTAAACGGTGGGCAAAATGGGCCGCTGCCCAACTTCCCCCCCCAATTTAAGAGCCCCGCACCAAACGATAATTTCGAAAGTCTTTAACGGGTACTTCATTTTGTAAATCTGATTCCCTGAACGGACTTTGGTACGTTTGGCCTATTAAGAATCTGTTGGATTGAAAATCGTTGTTCATGCACTTTTTTTATGAGGTCCGCGGAAGTTCTTCGGGTATTTTGCAACGCTTTATCAGGTTGTGAGGTTCTGTAATCTATAATAGCGTACGGTGATTGTCTGGGCTTGACACCGTACGATAACCCACTGGCCTCAGGGGTGCAGATTCTGCTAGGTGGGAGTCTCCAGATGTCAGAGTGTGGTTACATACAATCATAACATTTGTCGTTTGAAAATTCTTTGAACACAAGTTAGACCACGGACCTCTGACTCATGCATGGCCTGGGCTTGATTGTCGCAAAATATCTCCGAGCTTTGTTGCAGTTACAAACAAACAGACAAAGAATTGTCGTTGGAATCCAGAATTGTGGGTAGGGGTGTCGGAGGGAAAGTAACAGAGAACATGGCGCCTTCGTCACCCTTGACCTCTTCGTGTGACGTAGTCGAAGGTCGGTGTAATTTTGCACCTAGTTCAATTCCCTGCACTGAACACGGCTTAATTGTTTAATCTGTGTTCGTGTTTCTTACAGGGTGCCTTACACTTGGTTCAGTTGCCTGCCTTCATCTCAAGCTCAACCTAATCAGAGGAGCGAAGAGCAGAGATCGATATACCTGCGCATGCGCCAACTATTCGATGGCAGGAACCATTTCGTCCTGGAGAAGATTCACCACGGAAAAGAAATGCTAATTCGGAAAGGACCCCATATGTTAATATTAAAATACATTGTACCTTCTGTTTACAACGCATCTCACCGGAACTATGGCTATTTATTTTTTTATGGACTCATGGATTGGTGTGCCTTCTACTGGAATTTGCACGAAGAAAGATCTCCAACCGTTCAGCTTTTCGATTATTTTAATCTGGATTTCTTTACTTCACATAACGAAACTGATTCTTCTGAAGGCGTAATTAATGTTCCAGAATCCTCTAACATGGACCTGAATACTGACATAGAACTTCACTCACCGTTAAGACTAACACCAATAAGATTTTCTGATAACTCTCTATCATACATTTGGACGTACGATGTAACCGTGGACGGTTATCGCCAGATCCACTTCGGGTGAATCATGGAACTAAATTCCTCTTGAAAATTACCATAAATTGCTCTGCATCTCTTGCAAAAGGCCTAACGTCTACGTTTCAACATATTATAAGCTCTAGCAAAAATGATTAATGCAGAAGATATAATTAAAAACGGAAATGTTGCTAACGCTATCAGGGTTCCGTCGTGGCGGGACATGGGAAGGTCCAACCAACCAACCAAAAAGCTAACTGAGGGCGGAGTCCTGCGCAAGCGCAAGCATCGTCCCTACCTAGGTGAAACCATTCCTGTGCACAAGGCGCATTGCTGGAAATGGCAAACGGTCTTAATATAAAAAACGGAAATTTTGCTAACGCTAACGGGGTTCATGGGAAGGTAAATTTGGGGAGGCCCTTATATACCCTTCGAAAATTAGTATCGGAGGGGGGGGGGGGGGAATAATATCTCATCACCAGCAGCAGACCCTAGTTAGAATAGTCAAGGCTCCCGCCACGACAAAACCCCATTAGCGTTAGCAAAATTCCCGTTTCAATTTTAAGGCTCTGTTTACCATTTCCAGCAATGCGTTTCGTACGCAGGAATGGTGTTACCTAGGAAGGGACGATGTCTTGCTCTTGCACAGGGCTCCGCCCTTAGTTAGCTTTTTTGTTGGGATCGGGGTACAAAGCTTTCATACTTTATCGGAGGAAGTTACGCTGTCGCCGGTCTTCAAGACGTGGTCTTGGGAGTCAAGGATCCAGGAGTCTCAGCACAAGTAATTCTGTATAACCTTCATTTTAATAATTCATAATAAAGGAATCTGTATATATTCGATTGACGATTGTTCTTGGGCTTTCACCCCTAAACGCTGCCTTACTCAGTAACTCCGAGGCCACCTGATGAAAAGTCAGTCTTCTTTAACACGAGACTTTGTCTCTCCCACAGAGCCTCTGAATTTTCCAGTCTCTCACAGCTGTTGTATCCCGAAGGATGGTGATGGGACACGGGAGAGTAGACCGAGCGAAGTCTGTTGATTGGGTGCGTTGGACAGTCTGGTCCGTAGCATCTGGTCATACACAATTACATGTGTGAAGGGTCCATATACGACAAGAGGGTCCATATGCAACACAAAGGGTATCGGCGGAGTCGACTCGCGAAATGTAGTTTCATAATTAATAAATTAATATGTAGAATGTACCGTAAATATTTAAACAGGACAGAAATACCGTTAGTCGCCATTTAAATACCTAAACAAATTATAAGAGTAACTCAATTTGAAGTAAATATAATTATCACATATAGAGGCTTTTCGTATAGGCCTACTTCGATACAATGGCGGTTAAGCAAATAGTATAGGGTTACTGAGAAATGTATACAAAAACCTGGTTGGGGGAGCTTGAAGGTGAGAGATAATACGCAAAACTCAATTATAAAATGGATCAGGGCGATGGAGGCAGCAAGGGCCTCTGAAACGTCGGTAACCTTCTACCAGACTACACGGAGCCTCAACCCTGAAGACAGCTATCTTTGTACTCACCGCCACGAAACCCTGAAATCCTATGTTCACTTTGAGGTAAGAACCGAATTCTTAAACCTACTTTGACAAACGTCGGCTTCAAGAGCGCGAAAGAAATACAAAAAAAATAACTCACCATCGCAGCGGGGGAAGTGACTCCAACGAGCTGAGGCCTTCAGTAGCAACGAAGCAAAAGTATGTCTCCATTTAATAAAATACATAAATGAATATTAAATGTACGGTGGCTTCGATTATTACAGCCAATACTATATTTGGAAACGCCTGACTTGTGTGCAAGTATCTTCACTGCATACCGAATGTTACAAATATGTTCAATGTACAGACTCGCCTAAATTAATGTTCAAGAGTTTGTGTTGATTCAACTGCATCAGAATTCCTATCAGCTCCGTAAAAATGAACAGCTCGCTCGCCGGCTGGAACGTTGCGCCAAGTGCGCCTGGCACAGCTACTCGATCACTAGCTGACATCTGTGGCGCAGTTTCGTTTCACTACTATCGGTTTGCCTGACGAAAGTCGTCGGTGGCCTTCAAGAATATTCACGAATCTTACCGCCTTCTTATGTCGAAGCAATTTAACTGCGAGTAGTGGCCGAGTAGGAGGGTGGAAGTGATTGGGTGAATAAGTGATTTTTTTTGCCTTATCTCCAAACATTGTAAAATGAAGTTTTGAACCCGGGACATCCCAATTACAACACAATCACTCAGTAGCGACGCTCGTTAGAATCGTATACACAAAGCAAAGCTACACAGCCCAACGGGTTCCTCGTCTCTCTTCAGAATTTCCCACCATTCTTATCACTTCTTGTGGAGATTCATGGAGCGACCTTCTATTTCTGAGATCAACAGCGTCTCTTTCACTGTTAAAAGAAAATTAAAATCGAGATCCAGACGCAAACGCCGAAAATATTGACAAAGTATTCGGTTTACAGGTAAAGACGTGTCTCCGAGTGAAAAGCTGGTGCGTTCGTGTCTCTGCTCCGCCCGTCTTTACGCATGTAACAGCTCGCGAACTGCTGAACGGATTATCGGGACATTTGATAACTTGATACAAACATTTACAATTTTTAAAAAACTAACGAGCAGTTTATATAAATACGTGGATCTCTCTCTGCCCGCCACACTGACTGGCCTGCCCTCACATCGGCACCAGTAAAAAAGCCTACCTCTCCTCAATCCACTAAATCTCTTGGCCCGGACCCTTTCACTTATTTCCCACGCTGTGGTCGTGAACCATAGTAAGGATTTCCCCCGTGACGGCCATTTGACCAGCAGCTAGACAAAAGCTAACACCAAGACCACCAAACAGACTACGTGTTCGATTTCGTACTCGTACTTCACGCCTGGGAAGAAAACCGACCTCTGGGGAATTGTTAGTCACGTGCTTCCAAACAATTCACGTGTACAAGAATTTGTCAAAGAGGCGCATTTTCATTTTCTATTTATTTTTATCCACCAATCAACGTGCTTTATTCAACCGCCTGTCGAATGCAGTAAATTATATAACCACAGAAACTTTTCTTGAATTTGAGTAAACACACAAATTGTTCGGGAGTTTACTTCGGAGACATCTAGTGGAAAATGTGTTAATTTACAATAAGATAATATGAAGCTAGTAACAACAAGGGACCGATAGGATTGTGTGCTCTGCTTTCTAAGAAAACTTTGACCCACATCTGCAATGAAATTATTCTGTAACAAGCAATGAAGTAAATATAATACATGTCCATGATTTTTTAACATCTGTGCACGGGACGTGCTATATTTTTCTCTACTTTCGGAAACATTCTTTTTCCAGCATTGACTGAAGATAAGCTGGTATATAAAGTTTTATAATCCTTTCGGCTTCATTTTATTTAAGTTTGGCCTTTTCTCAGTCATTCCGTTTTTTTTTTAAAAGAACTTTCCTGCAATTAAAATGTCATTAATATAACGTATGCATTTTTCCAAAACTTCAACCTTACCCCAAATACAAGAAACCTTGAGGCAAAACAAAATTCCCTCTCCATCGTCTGTTTACGGGAAGATTTGGAGGGCACCAGAAAACACTTGTGCGGGCACGTTGGTGCTGCTTGGGTTCTCTGATCTTGCCTGCCTACTTGGTGTTTGTTATTGACACACGTAAAGAACTTTGTGAAGTGAGTTTCTGCCGACTCAGTTACACTTCCTGAAATCCTGTTAATGTTTGAATCTCCTGCGCCTTCTTTCACAATGCAAGACCATTGACAAGTGACCAAGAAAATAAATCGGATTGTTACATCGGCTCCTGCCCTCTCCTCACTCAACTTAATAAGCCTCTCTGTTTTCCTCACACACGGCCTCGTGTATCAACAATCGAATATTAAAGTTGTCCGTCGACAGTACGAGGTGCGATCGGAAAGTTTCAAGACTGTCAATAGAGGGCGAACCGGATGTAGTACGAGCTTCTGCCGCTAGGGGGTGCGGCCTACATTCATAGTGAATCAGTGTGCCAGCCGGCATCATCGAATTAGCATTTATTTCTTAGTTACGGGCGTTTTGGTAGTGCATTACACCGACCCTCCTGCGATTTCGGAATAGCGTGTGCATCAAATTTTGCCAAAGACTCGCCAAAACGGCTACGGAAACCTATGAAATGCTAAAGCAAGCATTTGGGGAGTCCGCAATGGGTCGTGCACCAACTTTTGTGTGGCATTCACGTTTTAAAAATGGCCGAACCTCTGTCGATGATGACGAGCGTTCTGGACGACCATCTTCGAGCACAACGCCCGAAAATGTTACGAAGATCGACGTCGTACCATCAACGACTTGTGCGACATTTTTGGGATAGGCTATGGGACCTGTCAGCTGATTCTAAAGGATGAACTCCACATGCGACGCATCCTGTCTGAGGACCAGAAGCAGAATCGACTTCTCGTTTGTCAGGAGCTGAAAGATCTTGCAAGAACCGACCCCAACTTCCTTTCTAAGGTTTCCTCTTCTCAAAGATGAAAATTCAGCTAAAGGGAAGGAGATTTGAGGCGATAGAAGAGATTCAGGCAGAATCGCAGATGGTGCTTGACAGGCTGACAAAGAAAGATTTCCAGGGATGCTTCCAGGCTTGGCAGCGGCGCTGGGATCGTTGTGTTCACTCCCAGGGGAACTACTTCAAGGGTGATGGATGAATTTAATACCTGAGATAAGTGTACGGGTTTTTATACGCGCAGTCTGGAAACTTTCCGATCGCACCTCGTAAGTTCATCTGCATTTATCATATATGGCGCACAGACGAAAATCAAAGTCCATCTCCAAGTTGAAGCTGAGGAAATAAATATTGTTGCCGAGTAGTGACGCAACAAGTTGTCTCTGCTTGTAAGTCTGCTCACACCGCCAGTTCCCAAAACCCAGCCCTCAACCTCTTGATTCAGAACCAGTGGAAAACAACAGTGTTTCACGAGGAATGCCACCTCGTGGAGTTGCACAGTAAAATAATTTTCTACACAAGCAATTATTAATATCACTTCTAAACATTTTAATTAACATTTTATGTTGGAGTCCTTGCAAAGTAATAATACGCAATGCTTTCGTAAAATTACATTTAAATTCCCACACTCAATTGATAATGACCTTCGTATCAAAGAGCACACCCACGGTGTTTTAATGTGGTTCGTAAATTATTCACTGCAAGTCCATCCCGTGTGCGTTGTAAAAGGTCTGTATCAGCCAATGGTGACGGTAATTTGGAAATTCAGGTGCTGATTAGCAAAATTAAATTCGACTGAAATTCCACTATATTTGTACCCATTTTACAAAGTTCAATATTTCTGCCAGAGTGACGCAGCAAAAGAGACGTAGTTGTCGTATCATCCTTTCATCTACTCCTTGGTATCCCGAGTGGTCTCTTTCCACTTTGCTTGTCTTAAACAGACGATGAAGCTCATAATGAATGAATGTTCGGATGGGCCCATGTGCGTTTGTCTGTGCCTCGGAAGGTGTGCCGCGGGTCCCAACATAGAATGGACAAAGTGCAATCTCGTGGTTGTTGAATTGCCTCGCATTCTACTAACTTACAAGTGACTCGCTCCCAGCCTTCATCTTGAATATTCCAAAAGCCAAAAATTCCTGGGACCTCTCTTTACATTACAGCCGTGTAGCAGGACTGCCTCGCTTTTACTTTTTTATGTGCAGCATATGTATTTGTTTCGGCAATAGTCGGTCAGCTTCGGGATATTTCGTGAGTCGACTTAAGGCGCGTTCTCACGAATCAAGTTTAATTGAGCGATTATAGTTGATCAACAAAAGTTGAATGAAATCTGTAGTGAGAACCTTTGTTTCAATAGAGTTGATCAACTTTTTAGTGGATCAAGAAAAGTTTGACCCAGTCAAACTTTATCGTTCAAGTGATGAGTCATCCGCCATTTGCTTTCAAGTTGAATCCTGTCTTGAAACGTGTGAACTTCAGTTGATTGTCAAGTTCGCTTTCAACTGGTCACGCCACTCGTGCATGTGTTTTGTTTTTAGTTTTTTGTGTTGTGTTTTAGTTAAAAAATGAGCCTCAAGTGGTCTGAAAGTGTGATGCTAAAATTCTTAGAACTTTATCATTAGCATGATTGTCTTTGGAACCACCGACTGGATAAATATAAAAATAAAGATGCAAGAGAAAATGCTTTGGGTTCTAATGTCAAAGAAATGGAAATTGCTGGTCTTACTGTTGCTGATCTGAAGAACAAAATTAAGACGATTAGAACGATGTATAAAAAAGAACATTCATTGGTTTGCAAATCAAAAAAAGTGGAATGGGAACAGAGGAAGTGCATCACTGTATCTTGTTTCTTTATGCGATCCTGAACTTTCAACAGCAGTTCGTCAAATTTTTCTTCAGACATTCTTAAATGATTTCTACACATATCCTTCTTTATCCTCTAATGCTAGTTCCTTCAGCAAGGTTTCTGATGCTCCCAATCGATTTCTTCTTAATATCCATTGCCTCACCCAAAAACGACGTTTCTTACGATTTTTGCTCATGTTAAATAAAATTGTTTTTAGTTCTTCTTTTAACAAAACAGTTACTATCCGTACAACTTCACGCACAACTGCTTTCGACGCCATTTTTAACTGAAACTGTTGATCAGTTTCTATTGAAATGTGTGAACAAAAACTGATTCAAGTCATATTCAACTTTTGTTGATCAACTATAATCGGTCAATTAAACTTGATTCGTGAGAACGCGCCTTTATCTTCCATTCCTCGCGCTTCTATTGAAGAGGAACGTTCCTGTCGCGCCGACTGGGTTATGCGAGTTGGTTTAGCGCAGCGGAGGAGCTGGGTGATTTAGTGCGAGGTTTTTTGTTTCCCATCTGACCGTGCGCGTATCCATCTTTGCATGTGCGATGTGTTTTACGAGTGATTTCTCTAGCCTGTTCATTAATAATTTTGGAAGAGCCCAGTTGCTTTGAAAAACGTACCGCAGGTGTTATATAAGCAAACAATTTGGAGTATCACGCGAAGAAACAGGTGAGTGACGCAAAACGTAAATTTGTTCTGCCTCTAAACTATGAACGATCCATACACCCCAGAATACGGCACTACATGGCCTTAGTATGTAAGTTTCACGCTGCGTCCACCTAACCCTGTGTTTTTTACTGTACTCACTACACAGGAGTCTGAGTGAGTCCAAGACCTGGTCTGAACATGACGGGGAAAAAAACCCAACAACAACAACAACACTGTTTCTGCCGGAATAGGAACACTGGTGCAACCGAATCCTACTGCTCTTCTTCTAGCTGGCCTCTAGAGGTCCTCTCAAGGATACAGGGGTGCATTCAACGTGACTTTTTCACGCCAACAGTTTATATATATAGCATGGGTGTGGTGGGAACCAAAACACCTCCACTGATCTTCCCACCAGGCTAAGCAGCCAGTCCATTGTTATTTGAAGAATTCAAGTTTTAAAACTGACTTTCTTCAAAAATGTCCGGCTACACCGGTCGTCCAATCCGCGGGCCGTCACTTCTCTGCCTGCTATCTTACCATCGCAGTTCATACTAATATTTGATAGAAGTCATGAAAACTTTTAATTTATTTCGATTCGACACGAGGAGTAGGTTAGTCGCGCCAGTGGGTCCCTAATCTCGATGAGATCAACTGACATTCTACTGATACAGGCGGTGTATTACAATGTGGTTAATTTTGGCATCACACGAAGAGCTATGTGCATTTGTTTTTGTTGTGTTCTGAAGTCAAGTTGAGTGCAGTGGATAATGGAAACAGTAGTTATTAAAGTGTGGAGCACGAGTCAAATTTGGCTGGAACACTGGTTTTCTTTAATGGCTGGCCAGTCCGTGCCTAAATGGCATCGCCAGTATTGGCCCTTCGTTGTAGAGTTTCTCAACCAGTGTGCCGCGACGCGATCGTAAATATGCCACGACATTTTAAATTCAAGTTGCTTCTCGGTTTACAAGTGTGTTAATAGCAGTGAGATATTCTTTTATACCAGATTCGTCGTCTCATTGGCCCGTGTCTTCTTATCCGAAGTCTTCAAGTATTTAAAAACTTAATGATGTATGAATGATATGAGAATTGTTCTGCGTACACACACAGACACGTGCGAGCGTATTTGCTTGCACAGGCAACTTTAAAATAGTTATTCGTTTGAGATACCGTGAGATGTTGAACCGGGCACAAAACAGTAAAAGAAATGCGGATGGTGACGACTTATGTCTTTTGTCCTTCGTATTGGACCAGAAACAATGCAAAATTACCGGAAAACACATTAAAAACTAAGTATCAGAGCAACCCCCATTGATCTTTTGAGTAATGTCAAGTTTATCCCCAAGGATCTAGAACTATTTCGTGATACTTTTTTAAAATATGTTTGAGGATTTTACTGAAGTTACATTTTAGGGCTTGAATAGCAGAGTCGTTACACGATTTTTGTACTTTCAGATTATATTTTCGCTGGCACTATAAAGACCTAGAACTTCGGTTGCTGCCGACGTTTTAGAGGACCATACTGATAGAAACATCGCTAACATCATTAGTGAATCGTCATGAAAGCTTAAAATCATTTATTTAAGGAGCCAGTTGATACAAGAAAAAACAATTAAGTGATTTTGTGGTTTTCAGGGCGCTGAGGATTATCTCCATAATCATGAGTCAAGATGGAGAAGGTATATCTCTCCGAAACGTCGGCATCTACCGACGAGTCTACACGGCTCCAAAACCCAAAACATCGTCAAAACGAAGACGAATAAACTAGCAACAGTGAACCCACAATTTTAAAATTATGACAGTAGTGTCCAACTTATATTTTTAAATTCTCTGCCGACATTTATTTAAGAGCGCCTTGTCGTTCATATGACAAAGCAGCACTGATAACAAATAAATCGAAAATTAGCAACAACATGGAATGCAACCGGTTGTGCCCTTTTTATTAATAACATATCACATAATGCGCCTGTGGTAACTAAGGAAAACCACGAACAATAAACATGCACAATCGGTTCGGAATGTAAGATCACTGGGCGGGCAGCAGCGGAAGTTATGTCGCCACGAGTAAAATTGCGGCTTAGTCCCTGATGGCTCATGTTTAATTAAGCGTTACCTGACTTCTAATATTAATTAACCTGCTGTCTGCATTTGTTTTATGACTTTTGATGACGTCATGTGCGGCATCTTCTTATCTTACGGTCAATGAACATCGCACGTTTAAACGTAACCGCACGTGTTAACAGGAGGCCAAGCCGGGGCAACTGACAAGGCAAGTTTCCTAAATTAAAGGACATAACGGAATAGGTAAATATGTCTTAATGAAGACAGCATGTGAAGATGATAAGCGAGATTAAATAATTAATTTAAGGCGACTTAAAACACGTTATTAAACATTTGTAAGCGTAAATGAGATTAATTTATTCGAAATACGAAAAATTACTTGGAAGCAGGCAGAACGTGTGTATTTATTCCATCCACTAACAGAAATAACTAGAATCTGATATGGGGTGCCAACATGTAAAAAAAAAAATCTCCCCAAATCCGTCATTTGATAAGAATAGTATTATAGGAACAATCAGTAGTTTGAAGAGTGCACGGTCCTATTTTCCAAACGCAAAGTAAGGGTGCTAATGTGCAAATACCGTTCTTCCAAAATATAATGTATCTCATTATGTAATCTCTCCAGTAAGTAGTTTCTGCATCCTTTTGGCTTCAAATTCCCTCTGCCCACTAACAGGACTCCTGTCAAATCCGACAGGACGGAAGAGTAATTGGAGGCAGTCACAGTAAAGTTCTTTCATGTCATGAAATTGATTTGAATGAGATGCATTCAAAGCACACATGAAATCAATTTTTTGTAGGCCTGCAAGACGTGTGCAGAAAAGAGCAGCCTGTATTCGCAATGAAAATTTCTTCAAGTAACTATAATAGAATATGATGTCTCGCTTTTCCTGCGTTTTCCCTTCTATTTTACTTTTGCACTCTCAGTCTTTGCCCATTACCTGATGATGAGACTTGTTTGTGTGAATATTATCTGCTGTACATAATATACTGGTTTCATGCCTATTGTAAGTTGAATTAAGGTGATGAGTGTAGTGTGACTTTTGGTCAAAATCCATATCTGAATGCATAAACCACAATGGCACATCTGACTTGCATAACAAGAGCTTTATTTCAATGAAATGGTTTATGTAATAACATTTACTGAATGCATGTCCACAGTTGAAACACTCAAGTTTCTCTCTATTTTCATACTTACATTGCAACAGTCTAGAGCTGGAGCAACTTTGTAAAACCACCACTGAAGTTTTCCAGCACCACCATTTATGTGGACAGGGTCACTGTTCCATTGTATGGATTTCTGGATCATACGTTTAGCTCAGGCAGCATTTTTTCTGTCTTGGAAAACCTGCAGTCATCATTTACATTTGACAAACTGCGTCATATGAAGCTTGTGACCAAACTGAGGGGAAGTGTGTATGTGTTATGTCACTTGTTCAGGTTAGTTTCTGCAGACCATCCGGCCTGGTTGTCCTCAAATGCTCTCCCTTTCCTGATTCTTAGGTTCTGGAATGACAAAAGTTCACATATGTCTGTGTGTTCATGTGATCACCATATTAGTATTAACCTTCCATCTGGGCAATTCCTTTTAAGTTTTCTGACTGAAGGTTTGTATGCATTTCTTATCTCCTCCTTTGTGTGCTACAGATCCTGCCCATTATACTTCACTTGAATACTTTAATAATTCTTGGTAAGTGTACAAAGCTTCGCTGCTACCCATTATCTAATTTAGTTCATCCTCCTGTTTATATACCCCTTCTACCTTCTCAGGACTTTGTCAACAAACATCTTCAGATCGTGATGCCCAGCATAATATTGCCACAGCATAGAACGAGAAAAGTAAATAATTAAACAACCATGCAGTTTCAGCTTTCTCTAAAGAGTGAAATGTGGGAATCTGTAAAGTTAATGATAACAACAGCGACTTTAACTTATTTTTTAAGCTTAGGTGTAAGCAAAATAAGGAATAAAAATATCTTGCAAAAATGAGAGGAGTCTACGTATCTAAAGTAAGAGTAACAGTGACCAAAAAAATTGATAGGCAGTGTCGGACACTGCCGCAGTTATTTTCGTGAAAACGTCAATCTTGTATAGTATATTGAAATTAAACAAATTTTTTGTTTTGAATCGTTTAATTCATTTGCAACTTACATTTATTGAATACAGAGTAGTGGTATGAGAAGTAGGATACATATGGCTTTCAAATTATTTGAATACCTCTTGCAAATGTCAAATCTATACATTAATAGTTTAACTTAGGGATATTGTAAATATAATAATTTTTATAAATGATCATTTCTTAATTGGTACACATCCATACTTGACCCAGGCTCGTCAGATGCCGCCTGAGTTGTCAGAGCGCGCTTACGTTGCCTATATTCGCGGAAGTACTGCGCGTTGGTTTTGGGTCCGGACCCGGCGTTTTCGGTGTCATTCTCTTTGGAATCTTATGCTCTACGCATTCGTGCCCGATTCTTGTAATTCTGGTTTTACTTTGCCCTCATATATCGCGACATTTTAAGAAAATCGGGAAATTTTCAAACTTTTTAAAATTCACAGCCTCGTATCTTTTTGAGTTTTTGAGATACACATTTGGAGGCCAGGATGAGTTGTAACATATACACTCCTCTTCAAAACAACACTTGGTTCACTCGGATCGGATAATTAGTCTCTGAGATATGATCCCGTTTATGGACACGTGTCGAATCCGGAAAGTCGAAAATCGTGGACTAAGATGGCGGCGCGATGTCTATTTTTAGCCGAGTTATAGAAGTTTGAAATTACTTCGACAGAAACTGTTGCTCATTTGGGCACGATTGCCTCCCCACACCAGACATCAATTTTAAAGACGTTTTCACGTCAAAATATACCCTAGAATTATGCAAGTAATATTAGGCTTATATGTTACTGATGTACTTAGACAAGGGACAATGTGCTCCATTCTGAATTATCATTTAAATAATTTTTAATGTTGATTAAGCATCTCTGAAAATATTTTATGCTGTTCTTTGCCTCACTCCACTACTTGTTTTGAATTGTCCTGTTCATACTCTGTATGTGTGTAGTGTATTTGTATATACATGTGCATGTGTAAAAAATATGTTGCCTCTTCCATAGGACCCTATGCCAGGAATTATTCCTCGCAGCCTGAGGCATCTGCTTGCTGAACTAAAAAGACAGGAAGTTGATCTTCCTATCAGAGTATCTTACATAGAAGTCTACAATGAGAATGTTTATGATTTATTGCCGACAAATGGACCTTCAGAACTCAAGTATGATGGTGCTTCAGGAGTAATATGTATATCTTATGATTACAGAATTTCATTCTCTCCTAAACTTTATAGTTCTTATTGTACATTGTACTGTATCCAGTGTAGTGTGCAGTGTTTATTTTTGTGCCTGGTAAGATTATTTTGTGAAAGTCCATAGAAGGACATTAATTAAACCGTATTAACCAGAAGGAAAATAACCTCTTCTCTCCTAAAAAAAATCTTGATCTTCCTTGAAAATGTAGATTGAGGACGTTTGAGAATAGGTTGCTATGGCAACTATTTGGACCAGAGAAGGACGTAGTGACAGAGTCTGGTGAATGTTCCAGAATGAGGAGCTTTATATTTTGTACTCTGCCATGTATTATTACAATGTGCAGTCGAAGAAGGATGAAATACATTTGGTGTGTAGCACAATTCAGAGTGACAAGAAATTAATACAAATTTATAGTGTGTAAACCTACAGGGAGAATCTCTTGGAAGACCTGTGTTTGGATGAAGTTAATTTGTCAGAGAGGCTTAGACACTTCCTGTGTTAATGAAAGCTGATTTAGTGTACCTTTCCTTTTACTTGAATAAGATCACAAAAGATTGCAATGCTAACAAACAGAGATTATTCAAAGGATCATTTATATCAGTTGACTTTGGATATTTTTCTCCTCTCATATGTTCCCTCCATTTCCTCTTGTATTTATTATGCATTTTGTTTAGTCTGCACTGTATGGGGGCAGCTTACAACTTCCCTGCTTTGTGTTACCTTTGTTTAAGTTTCTAGCTGATCTCTACACATTCAGTAGACCCTGTAGTCTTTCTGTATATTTACGTGCTCCACCAAGGTTCAGTCATGGGAGTGAAAAAAATTATGAGCATTGACAGAGGAGGAAACTGAATGAGAGTGTTTTTGATAATGACTGAATTAAGTTCATTATAATCATCTGAAATAATCCCTGTTTACACTGAGAATCATGTGAAACCTGTATGTATAAAATGAAGAGTTACTGATTGTATAAGCAGTTGGGACACTTTGCTTTAAATGATCAATACAATATTAAATACTAAAGCAACTAAAAGTAGAAGTGTTTTGTAAAAGTTAGCTGCAGCATTTATTTCTTATTTCCTGCTAATACTGAATTATGCAGAGATTACATGTAGATTTGTTGTAAAGTTTGTTTGCCTACTGAATTGTTTTATTTCAGCAGCTGCACTCGCACGATATTTTCAGTTACCATCGACGTTCCAACGGAAGGTGAAAATCCCCCCAAAGTAGGGAAATTGAACCTTGTTGATGTGGCCCGTAGTGAGAATATTGAATGGCAAGCTGCCGTTGGTGGTGGATTAGGAAATATTGATCAGTCATTCCTGACACTAGGACGTGTCATTACGTTTTTTGTGGACAGAGCCGCGCATGTACCTTTCAGGTATGTAGAGCATGGGTGTCTGATTGGCCTTTATCATCTTTAGTGCTGTAGTTTCACTTTCTGCATATTTGCCTTATGCAGTTGATACGTTAGTACACAGATATTTTTATAGGTAGCAGCATGAATCTGGAAGCATGTCCTTAAATGGTCAGCTGTGGGTTGATGGGTGATAAGGGGGTATTCTACTACTACTTACAAAGCTTGGGGTCCTGGTATGCAAGCAAACTAGTCAGTGAGGTACCAGTCTCATGCAACTTTCATTCAGAGATGTTAGTAACAAAGTAATAGGTTTGTGAAAATTAAAGCAATATAATTGGATGCTGGTATATGGGGACAGGCACAATGTTTTTAGCTTAGGTAGTATAGGCCTTACCAGCACCTCAATGGGCTTGAGGTCAAGCATTCAGATTTGTGCCACTTAATGTCAAACTGCTTTTAGGTGAACACAGGTATATTATTACAGGTTTTTTTATTTTGGGAATCACTCCTTTTTGCACCATAAATTATAATTATAATCCTTGTGGAACTGGAAAAATCCATGTACTGGTGGACACTTCACACTGGTATTTAGTTGGCTTTCCTAAATGTTGTATATTTATGTATATTTCTTCTACATATGTATTTAATGAAATGCTTATTCCATCTGATTTTCACTGCACACTTATTGACATGGTAGCAGTGTTGAGGTGAATTGTGTTCACCTTACGCAGTGTCTCCTTGCATTCTGCCAGTGTTAGATTCCAAGCAAAGTTGTCCATAAGGCTATAAACATATGGATGCCCCACTCTGTAATTTTTCATATAAAATGGTGGCTGGCCCTTGCTTCTTGGATTAGACCAGCACTGTATTTGACTAGTAATGTTTGTATGGACTCTTATTACCAACGTTTATCAATTTATGTTCAGCCAGAATGTAGCTGTTAAATGCATACACACAGGCACAATGTTGCTATCCTCCTTTCAGATACTCTTTTTTCTTAAGAGATCAGTTTTTGACAGATGAATAATATGGCATACATATTACAGATAAACAATTGTAATTAATGAGTCTTTGGATTCTATGTCAAGGAATGTACAAGTACTGGCTTATCAAGGCAGCCACTCTACTATTGTAAACAGTTGTATAATAATAACAACATTTTCAGAGACTGGAAGGTAAGAAGATTTCTCTCTTCTGTTTTGTTGCGCTGTGTAGTCTGGTCGATGTTTACCAATGTTTCAGAGGTCATACTGCCTCCGTCATCAGGGCCATCATCAACATAAATCCGTATTCATTTACTTTGGAGTTAGTGGTAGCGCAACAACCCAGAAATAGAGACATCTTCATACTCACCGCTGTGAAAACCTCAAATCTTACACTGGAAGGTAAATTTTATAGTATACTTTTGCCTTGTACACGAACGCTATTATAAGACAGAAGAAAATGTTTCTCATACAGTAAAACCTTTAAAGATGAACCAATAAAACAACATAAATTGCACACCTGAATTTTTCGTCTTACTACAAAATTTTAGAAAATGGTCATTACAGTTTTTGGTTGTTAAACCTTTTGGATATTTTACATGTTGAAATTTTAGGCTATATAAGGCCCCATTCTCTTCAATAAAGACATGTAAATAAGTATAGCAAAAAACGTTTTGTTGTATTACTGTGTGAGTCACTTGGCTGCTATGTGCAACATTAATGGATGTAGCTATTTTACATTTCTGTTATTTGTTTGAAGGGATTCAGGATTAACTTACCTGTTAGAAAGTTCTTTTGGACGCCGGACAAAGACCTCCATTATTGCAACAATATCACCTACAGAATGTAATGTGGATGCGACATATAGAACTTTGGATGCTATCACCAGAGCAAAGGACAAATTCAGTCGTCGAGGAATTAACTAGAAGCTTAAGAAGGATCTTATCAAGGTAGGACAAAAACTCATCGTGTATGAATCTGTTCTTTGGAAAGGCAGCGTGTGTATTTGTGCTTGTGCATGCGCACATGCATCTGTGTGTCTGTATATTTGCTGTGGAGGCTGGCATTTGTAAGCAATTAAATTGTGGCCATCATGTGTACAGGGCAGAGTGGATTGCCGCCCAGGACTCTGATTTTTGTGTAATCTTCATAAGGAGCACTCCAGAAGACCTGCAGTTTTAGGTCTCTGGGATCCTTGGTTTGAATCGCAATCTGCACGTGGATGTTTAAACATTTTTTGTTCTGTATGGGTAGAGTTTTTCAATGATCTTGTTCTGGAAGTCATACCCATTGTCTGATTGGTCCCTGGCTTTGCCAGCATGTGACACAGAAAGTCCCAGCTCAGCTCAGGCAGAAAAATGTATCACTGTTTTCGGCTGTTAATTTGAATTTGAATCACGGAAGCATTTTTTTGCAAGCTTGTAGCAGTAAGCGTACATTCCAGTAGACTAGCAGCTTGGAGAAATGTCGGGCGATTTGCTGGTGAAACAGAACAGTTGACAAAGTACCAGGCAAAGACATGATTGTCAGCCAATACTGTTTCAAGGCTTTGGCCGCTGATTTGAGATACTGTAATATATTAATAGCGTATGAAACTAGTTCTAGCTGTTTTATGAAGGTAGTCACAGAATCAGTCCCTGTTTTTATCCTCCTGAGCTTTGGTAAGGAAATCTTCAGTTTCCCTGCACAAGGGTACATTCCTCTAGATTTATGCACAGTTTTGATGAGGGAAATAAGAGCAGACATTTGGTGGTAAATATCCTGCAAGCAGTTCACAGCACTCTGCTTATAATTCATGTAACACTGACATTTTTAACAAAAAAGAGAGCAAAGCTGTAACTCAGATATCTGCACAAAAAGGGCAAAAAACTTAATGTAAAATGCTATTAATGTATCATGCATAACCACTTATTTTATAAGACAGTATTGCTGACAATTTATAATATTAAAATTTTAAGGTTAAACAAATTCTTTTAACAATCCTGTAAGTTTTAATAAGATTGCAGTGTATATGGAAGTGGTATTATTATCCATACACAATTCAACCTATCAATGAATCCACGTACGGTAGTGCCTTCAGCAAGTAGACTAGCCAGGGAGTTGATCAATCATAACTAACTAACTAGATGGCTTACCAAACCCGAAGGTTCATCACCGAATTAACCAAAGCCCTCCACCGGACCCTGTCCTGGGCCAACAAAATCCAGTTTTCTTCAACTCCTATCTCCCATAGATCCCACTTCAGATTATCCTCCCATCTACGTCTAGGTCTCCCCAGCGGTCTCTTCCCCTCAGGCTTCCCAACCAATACCTGGTGCACACCTCTTGTCCCATGCATGCGCGCTACATGCCCCACCCATCTCATTCTTCCCGACTTAATCACCCTGACAATACTGGGGGAGGAGTACAGATTTTTAAGCTCATCTTTATGCAGTTTTCTCCACGCCCCATCGTCTTCCCTCTTAGGCCCAAATATCCTCCTCAACACCCTATTCTCAACCACATGCAATCTGTGTTCCTCCCTCTGAGTGAGAGACCATGTTTCGCACCCATACAAAACAACAGGCAAGATTATTGTTTTGTACACTTTAATTTTCAGGTTCTTAGAAATCAGATGGGAAGACAAAATATTTTGAACTGAGAAGTAGCAAGCATTTCCAGAATTTAATCTCCTCCTAACTACCTCATGAGTGTCATTTTGATTTGTTATTGTTGTTCCCAAATATTTGAACTTTGTAACCATTTCAAAGGACTTAATATCTACCCTAAAATAATTTGCCCGCCTGTCTGCTGATGGCGAGATACTAACATGAACTTAGTTTTTTCTGAATTTACTTCTAGCCCCACCTGTCTACTAGCCTTTAGTAAAACTTCTGAATTCCTCTTTATTATATTCATGTCGTCCCCCAATAAAATAACTTCATCAGCATATGCCAATAGCTGATGTGTCCCATTCAGTTGCAAACCCTCCTGCCCATCTTGGACTTTCCTGATAGCATATTCTAGCACAAACTTAAAGACAAGGGAGACGAAGCATCTCCTTGTTTTAGACCGTTCTTGACGAAGAATGGCTCAGATACATATTTACCTACTCAAATTTTGCTACAGGTATGTAATTATTTTCGCAGTAATACTGTAGTTGACTATAATTACTATCACAACTATGTAATTTATATTTATATTATAAACAAGTATTGTATTTATGCTATGACATGCTCTACATCCTTGGCTTGTGCCTATGAAGGATGTATGTAATGTAAATAAATTATATTCTATTCAACGATGACTGAAGAACATAAAATTCTGACGAATCTTGTTCATAGTATATTGCCGAATACATTTGGTACATTACAAACATTACACCCATCTTTATTCAGGGAGATTTCATTAACAAATTCCGGCAAACATACACATAATTTCAAAAGTATGTATCTTACCTCACTCAGACAAAAACTTGTAACTGTTGATTTACTTCCTGTTGATTACTTGCCATTACAATACCTGACACTGGAAATGAATCTATAATAAACATGCAACGAAGCCGTTACTTTCGAATTGTAATTCGTACGCCACACAAATAATCCGAAAACCAGTGATATCTTCCTCACGTTATTCTGATAATATGGTTGGTCTTCAGAGAATATTCAAATGCACAGAGAATATAAATACAAAGAGGATCCGAAAATATTCAAATGCAAAGAGAATATAAATACAAAGAAATATCCGAAAATGAGTTCTTATATTTATGGCACTCGTTGGAGTTGGCCTCTGAAGCTATGACTTCTGCCCAAATATAAGCGAATTCAACCGAACACGGAGCAGTTGGACACACCCGAGTGATTTGTGCCTTCACCCATGAAAGTAATGGCGGCGACAGTAATGATATTGTATAGACTGGGAGGTAAATGTATACTAGACGACGAGACAGTATTCCTAATTTCCGAATTTGACTGTTGTTTTTGTGTACTTGTCAGTGTAACACATTCAATAGAGGCTATTTATATCCATGTGGGTTTGCATATATAACCTACTTTCAGATTTGTCCAGTCCTTATACAATATAAAAATACAATTTGTTCGTTATATGCAGTTTTATTGGTTATATATAAGTAGTGACCTTTGCGTGCATCCTGGTAAGCTGGTTATAGGTGCTATTTGTTTTAATACATGAGTACAGGACAGTATTTGTGTGCATATTTACATTTTTTATTTAAATAGTTCGTCAACACGGAAGTGACCTTTGATGTAAGGGCCAGACTTCAAGTATCACCATTTAGACTTTTTTAATGTGTAAAATTCACATCAGTTATATTTTAATAAATTGATGCATTTAATTGTATTTTTCAGGACAAAAATTTAATAACGTTCGAATAAATTACACAGCTACTCGTGCAAATCTGAAACTTAGCTCAGCTACCAAAGTTATATGTCAAGGATTCACAGGTAAACAAGGAACATTTCATAGTAAGCAAGCTATTACATATGGAATGAAATTTGTCGGAGGTGTGTCACCAGGAAAAGGTGGAAAAACTTATCTCAATTTGCCAGTATTTAATACAGTGAAAGAGGTAAATATTACAACTGATTTTGCATCATTTTAAGAATTTATTGTCTTACAGTGTGGCTCATTTTTTTTAGATTTAAAATTGGGAAATTAGGAATAAATGGTGTATAGTCTTGTGAAACAAGTTGTAGCTTCACTGGAAGAAATATCATATCAGCTGAGTATGTTTAAGCTGATGACTTGCCTTGCTCCATTCCAAGCCACGCTACCAACATTATTCGGACTAAACCTATCCATAATTAACCATTACAAAATACTACCTTTAATGTCCCGTATTTCATTCTGACTTCTCTTACTTAAGTTAGCATTGTTGCTTTCAATCTTTTCACTTATCTTAGCATTGTTGCTTTCAAACTTTTCAATTAATTTAATATTGTTGCTTTCAAAGGTTCTGCTCTCGGTGCTATCCTCATTACCTTTGATTCTTCAATGTTGATTTTCATTCCATACTCTCTACCTGTTTCCACTAACTTGTCCATCATGTTCTGTAATTCCTCCTCTTCCTTCGCCAACACTACTAAGTCATCTGCATATTTTACAGTCGTTATCACTCTTCCTCCAATTTTGAAGTCTCCTGTTCCCTCCAGAGCTTCCTTGGCAAGCCATTCCCCGTACGGGTTAAAAAGAATTGGTGATGAGCAGCATCCTTGTCTTACACCTCTACCTATCTCAACACTGTTGGTGTCTCCTGAGTCCAATCTCACTTTGACTTTTTGCTGCATGTACAGGTTTTTGATTAGTCTTCTATCTCTCCAATCAATTCCAATTCTCTGTAGGATCCTCATTAATTTCTTCCATTTTACTCAATCGAAAGCCTTCTTCCAGTCGTGAAGCAGGCACATACTTCTTCCTTGACATCGAGAACTCTCTCTGAAATTATTCTCATAACTCCGATGGCATCTCTGGTTCCTCTTCCTCTCCTGAATCCAAATTGGTCGTCTCCCATCACTCTTCTTTTCTAGTCTTTTAGTCAGTATGGTAGAATACTAACATCAAATAATTAAAGAAATACATGTCTTTGACGGCCCCTACACCTCATGTAAAGCAAATAAATTCACATTCCATTTTGAGAAGACATTTTTTGTCATGGGTCTATTTTAGGTTAAGACAGTGAAGCAACCTTATATTATTAGGCCTGCCAGTACTCCATACCACACCATAATACTGTCCTTCAAACTGTGAAACTTGTTCCAATGCAGATATCAAAACATCTTGTAAACATAAACAAGATCTTTACCTAAATTGACAGGTATTTCTACTTACAGACCAGTTTCATTACCAACGGCATTCTCTAAAAAATTTTCAAAAAGACATGCAACAACGTGCTATTGAATTTTACACACAAAATCTTAAGTGAACTAAATAATGAAGAGCATGTTGGTGGAATATTTCGCTATCTTGCCAAAGAATTTGATTGTGTGAATCATGAATTAGCACATCTGATAATCATATTTCTCGTATACTTACACAATGCATGTCAAGTTGACACAGAGATAAATCTCTCGCAGACATGAGGTCCTTCGTGATAACAGCCGATTGATTTCCTGTCGTCATATCAGTGAGCCACCATAGTGTTTCTGCACATACTCCACTCTTTTCCTGGCAAGCAGTAGTCATGTCAGGTGACGCATCCTTCAACCTCAGTAAAGTCCCATGGATCAATCAAGCTTCTTCTCTGCAGCTATTACCAGAAAAAAAATGCAATCACATTCAACACATCACCTAATTTAAAGGTTTCATAACCGATCCCCTTGCTCAAAATTAACCAAAAGCACAGAAAATATCCCAGCAGCTCCGGTCACTGTGCACAATACTCACACGTCAACAAAACTAAATTCCTCACCTTGGCAATTACTCACTTATTAATTAGTAAACACATCACATTAAAGGCTCCACAGCACTACACACATCACACATGTAACAAAACCACTCATTAACAAAACCTTATCACAAATAGTCACCACCCTCGTCTACAAGCTATACCTAACCTCCAATTTTGATGTCCTATGAACAATATATTCACTAGAGAATCATGAATGCCTCTAGCATACCACAGATACTGCAATTATGCCAATCTCTCACCGCACATAGGTCTTTCAACATATCAAATCTCACATTTAAGTTCACAACATCTGAAGTACCTAATAAAATTGGACAGACTCATCTCTCTCACACGACAACCACATCAAATACATTCTAATGCTCATGTACTCACACAACGAATGCCTCGTTCAGACTGATATCAGTTTCTTGCGGATACGATGTTCCTTCTTTGTCCCAGCAGGTTTAATCTTCTGACATCAAGTCGGTCCGCCAACTGTTGCCGCACGTACTTCAATGCTTGTCTGGCTGGCAGTACGCAGGTCACGTGACAAACAGCATGGTGCTCAGTAGAATCTGAAGGATCATTCTGTTTCTCGTAATCTGCTACTCCCAGAAAGAGAAAATACAGTCACATTCAAGAAATCAAGACATCACACTCTTCTAAGAGCACACAGTTTTACTTCACCAAGCAGTTAACACTCCTACCTTAGCCAATGAACAAGCACCTTCCATTTTCAGAAGACAAATTCTGTCAAGTTCATTACAAACCCATTCACAAGTTAACTTTAAATACGGGTCACAACCAGCGACCTGACAAATTCTGAACTCCCTCACTCACAGATTCATACTGGAGCCTTTCTTCCCCCCCCCCCCAGCAAATTTAAAGCATTCGCCAAGTGGGCCATTATTCCACACGTCATAATACTGCAACTACAAACTCTACAACTCACACACATCACGTCAGTCCCACGCAACTTCTGTTGCCACTGATTCAGTGGATATTTAACGAACAGTTCGCTTGCCGTCTGTTTGGAACCGAGGATGTTGATCGCTGTCTCCAAGATACACGGCTCCCTCTCCTCGTGCCCCATTATGACAGCAAGGGAGTCTACAAACACCAGTCGGTCCATGCCCCTCAGGTTCGCCTGTTTTGATGTCATGGAAAAAGGACCTAAATGAAAGATTAAGAAAGGGAAAGCCACTACAACACA